TAGATCCTTGATGTTAGGCCTTTGTCAGACATGGAGTTGGCAAATACTTTTTCCCAGTCTGTGGGTTGTCTCCCTGCTTTCTTGGTGGTTTCTTTGGCTTTGCAGAAGCTTGTCAGCTTAATGAGGTCCCACTTGTCTATCTTATCTTTTATGGCCTGTGCATTTTGGGTTTTGCTCAGGAATTGGATGACAGTTCCAAGTTCCACAAGGGTGTATCCTGCATTTTCTAAAGTTCTTATGGTTTGAGGTTTTACATTTAGGACTCTGATCCATTTATAGTTAATTTTTGTATACGGGGATAGATAGGGGTCTTGTTTGAATCTTCTGCATGTGGTCAGCCAGTTTTTCCAGCACCATTTACTGAATAGGTTCTCCTCTCCCCAGTGGTGGGTGGTGGAGGCTTTGTCGAAGATAAATTGTTTGAGAAATTGAGGTTTTGCTTCTGGAATCAATTCTATTCCATTGGTCTATATGTCTGTTCTTGCACCAATACCAGGCTGTTTTGATTATTGTATCTTTATAGTAAAGTTTAAAGTCTGGTAGTGTGATTCCTCCTGCTTTTTTTTTTTTTTTTTTTTTGCTGAGGATTGTTCTGGCTATTCTTGGTTGTTTGTGTTTCCATATGAATTCCTGTATTTTTTTTCTGGATCTGAAAAGAATGTTGCTGGTAATTTGATGTGTATTGCATTAAATCTGTAGATTGCCTTAGGTAAGATGGACATCTTCACAATGTTGATTCTTCCAATCCATGAGCATGGAATATTTTTCCACTTGTTTGTGTCATCTTTGATTTCTTTGAGCAGTGTTTTGTAGTTTTCATTGTAAAGGTCTTTCACATCTCTGGTTAGGAAGATGCCAAGGTATTTCATTTTTTTGTGGCTACTGTGAAGGGGATTGTGCATTTTATTGGGGTTTCTGTTTGTTTATTATTGGTGTAAAGAAATGCGATTGTCTTTTGCACATTTACTTTATACCCTGAGAGTTTGCCAAAGTCCTTTCTCAGTGCAAGGAGGTTTTTGACAGATTTCTTGGGTTTTCAAGGTATACAGTCATGTCATCTGCAAAGAAGGATAGCTTGACTTCCTCTTTTCCTATTTGGATACCCCTGATCGCCTTCTCTTTTCTGATTGCTCTAGTCAGGACTTCCAATACTATATTGAACAGGAGGGGAGAGAGTAGGCATCCTTGTCTTGTTCCAGTTTTCAGGGGAAATGGTTCCAATTTTTGTCTGTTTAGGAGTATGCTAGCTA